GAGGTCTGTGGGGGGAGGGTGGGCCCCAGCACCTGCCAGGCCACCACTCTCTGCCGGCTCCTTTTCCTGTCGTCTCTTTCTCCCTCTCCTCATCACACACACAGAGATGGGATCCTGCTGAGCGAGGATGCCATCCAGTCAGCTGACCCGCCCTCTGGCCCCACTGGGCCTTGGCGTCAGCTCCTCCCTCGCTGGGATGTGCTGCATCTGCCCCTCAGGCCCAGGCTGAACGGCCTTCCCTGTGGGAGACTGTGGTGGGACTCCCCAGCCTGCCACCTGCCCTCCCCAGAAACTGAGCTCAGGAAGGCGGTACCAGTGTGTGAGGAAGCGTCCCCAGAAGGAGAGCACGTGTCTGCGGGGAGAGGGAACACTAAGCCACTGAGCCGGGTGGGCGGCGGTGCTGAAGGGGCCCCCAGCTCCCCCGATAGTTTTTTCCTGGGTCTGATCCCCCATCCCCATCCCACCCCGTCCTGGAGAGGTCCCTCGGGGAGCCTGGCAGGGAGTGGGGTCGGAAGGCGTTTGCACCAGGCCTGGGTCCTAGAGCCTGATGCTCACATCAGGTCCCGTGGCTAGCTCCAGGTGGGTGCTGATGCAGGGGCCCAAGGAGGACCCTGGCACATATTGCAGGGACCCATGGGTGCTGCGCAAACCCGGCCTCCTCCAGCCCCGGTAAAGACGCAGGAGCAGGTGAGCTTGTGGCTGGCTGACCTGTTAGACTCCAGGTAAGCAGCTCTTGCAGGGCGTGGCTTGTGGGTTTGGGAGACAGACACATGGGCAGCCAGATGGAGGTGTGGAGAAGCTGCCCTCTCTGCTGTCCACTGCCCGGGCCTCTGGAGGTCTTCTGGGATGGAACAGCCAACGATTCTTGAGCAAAGAATGTCGGGGCAACCAGCCCCCTGCATTTCAGAAGGGTCAGAATTGCCATCCAAAAGGTTATTTTGAGTGATTATGGTCAGTCATCATGCCCAAACCTTTTCCCTAAACTTAGAGCCAGGTGTGGCCTCCAGGGCTGAGGAGCCTGTGGGGGGAGGTGGTGGGGGTTACTGGCAGTCAGGGCTGTGGCCCCAGCGTGGTGGGGAACGGCCAGGAAACGCTGGCTCTGGGGGGCTGTGGAGGGCGGGAGGAGGTCCTCTGTGGGGGCCTTGTGGACCGAGGCTCTTGGAGACAAGCGGGAAGCCGGTGTCTCTCAGACCACTGCAGGCACAGGACCAGGGTCACAAGGGGCCCACACACGCACAGTGGCCCTGAACCAGCCAGCAAACCCCAGGACCTCAGGTGTCCCCCGGCACGTGAGTTAGGCTCACTCAGCTCGCTGCGTGATGATCCAGAGTGCCAGAGATCAGAGCCTCAAGACCACAGCGGCAGCTGGCTAACTTCTTGTGTGAACAGGAAACCCAGAGGCAGGCGACCCTCCGGCTGTCACCATGGCTCCAGGCTCCCGCCTTCCTGCTCCTTGGGCTCACAGCTCCAAGCATGAGGCAGGTGTGAGACAGCTGCTGGAGGGCGGCCATCATCCGGGCACTGATGGACAGAGGAAAGGGAAGCTGGAGGAGAAAAGCAGGGCCTTCCCCAGCCGGCCGCCCTATGTTGAGGGGCCTTTCCAGAGCCCGTCCCAGTGACTTCCTCTTCTATCTTGCAGTTGAACCTAGCTGCATGGCAGAAGGAGGCCATGCATTTCAGAAGGGCCAGAATTGCCATCCAAAAGGTTATTTGATAAAGTTGCATGATAGCCGCAAACTGGAAGAATACCAAGTGTTCAGCAAAGACGATTTGAAAGGGCCAGAAGAAAGGAAAACGATGACAGCAGTGCAGTCGCTTGCCAGGGTTAGCTGCAGAATGGACAGAGACCAAGAGAGAACGTGTGGAGTGGTAGAAAAAAGAGAAGAAATGGTTCAGTGTGCAGGGCAGACATGGCAGGATGGGAGGTGTGAGGAGAGCCAGGCGGCCCAAGGCTCTCACGGGTGGACCTGCGCTGAGCTTTCCACATCGCCGTTCGGGGATTGGCAGCCACCTTGCCCCTGTGCTTCCCAGCTCCTTCTTGACTCACCCTTTCTTGTGCCCTGATGGGTGGTTGCCAGGCACAGCGATGATGCTGAATCTCACACACTAAACCACCTGCAAAGGCGTGAGAAGCTGGGCACACACATGAAGTGTTTGTGTAAAGCTCAGAAGCTGCACAGCTCAAGGGCTGGGTGAGGGAGGCATCATAGGCATGAAGGATCCTACCTGATCCCCACAGGCACGGCCAGGCTGGTGGCACCTCAGCCAGGAGGGCGGGGGTGGGGGCCAAGGGCTGAAATCTGGAGGGAACTGGCCGGTTCTGGAGGCTTGAGAGGTTTTGTTTCTTCCTCTGGGAGGTGGTGACCTAAGACTGTAGAATAATTTCTGAAGCTCTGCATTTGTTTTAGGCATTTTATGTAAATATTTTCTATTTCTCATGAGTAAAGAGCTTAGGAGAACACACCCATGGGACAATTTGCAATGATACATGTTCCATAAAGTTCTTCATAGCTTTGTCTGCAATGCTTTGTGTGAAAAGCATTATTGCTGTGTGCAGAGAGAAGCTGGCTGAGTAAGCTACACGACAGCCACAGCTGAAAAAATACTAAGAGTTCAGCAACAGATGAGTGGGGCCCCTGTTCCTGATGCCCAGCAGAAAGAGGAGTCAGTGGATGGTTCCTGAGTGTGATCTGTGGAAACACCAGGGCCTCTGCACAGACCGGGGGAGGGCCCTGCGTGTCCATGGGCCCAGCACGGTGCTGCCACAGGGAGGCTGTCAGGGTCACGGAGATGGCATTGTATTGTATTTTTCCTTGCTGATTCCCATTTCTGGTTGCCATGGAGAGTGTGCTGTTGTCAAGGTGGCTGATTGGCTGGTGCTGGAAGCGGGCGCTTCCTTGGGTGCCCTGGTGGCTGCAGCCCTCAGCCTGCACTGTGGAGCTGGACAGCAGCATGGATGGGGCCGGAACAGACATGTGGGCCAGCATCTTCACCCTGATCATGGCCAAGAGGAAGCCCTGGGACATTTGGGTTCTGCTACCTGAGCACAGCCTGGTCCCAGGACGCCAGTACCTGCTGGTGGGGCTCTCGAGGTGTGGCTGGAGGCTGGGGACCCTGGGGAGGGAGGGGCTTAAGGTGCTTTTCCACAGGCCCTTGGGTGGCCCGAAAGGCTGGGTGGGGCTGTCGGGCCTTGTCTTGTCCCTGAGACGGGAGGGTGGGGCTGGGTGCTCCTTTTCGGTCTCAGCGCCTGCCCCTCTATGCTGGCACACAGCTGCTGATGCAGGGTCCTGGGGGAAGACATGGCGGGTGCCTCAAGGAGGTTTTGTCTCCCTCCCTTGGCTCCTTGGGCCTGTGCTCCCCCTGGACACAGGCTCATCTCTGGTTTCCATGGTGCTGCCGTGACCTCGCAGCCGTCTGCTGGCCACACCTCGGGGGTGTTTGGCTCTGATCGGGAGCCTGGGGTGGCTGTGGGTCACCTGTGAGCCTCACGGGCCGTCGTCATGGTGGCATGATGTCAGTGTAGCAGGGTGGACTGTTCCATCCCCAGCTCTGCCAGGCGCCTGCCGGCAGGGGAAAGACAACTCCACAGCCTCGCAGACTTCTGGCCCAACAGGCCCTCAGGATGATGGCTGGTCAGTCTCTCTGTGGGAATGCTCTGGCAGAGGGGCCGTTGTCCTGGCCTTTGACACAGCCCCCCAGTGCCTGAACCCCCTGGGGCCCTGTGTGTGCAGAATCCTGGCTTTTTCAGAGGTTAGCAGAGTAATAACCCATGCTGAGGTCTGGGAAGTGCTTGGAAGCACGTCACTGTCCCCACAGCCAGGTAGAGAGGCTCTGGGCCGCCAAGGTTGTGGACGGGGCTGCAGCTGGGCCCAGCTGGGGAGAGAACTGAGGCGGCCGCGCCCCAACACGCAGCCCCAGTGCCTGTGGCTTCGACAGGCTCCTCAGTCCCATTTAAACAGTCAGCAGTTCCTCCAGTGTGAACATGTCTACCGCCTCTGTGGCCACTGTGGCTGGAGGCCGCAGGCAGGGCTGCAGCACATTCTGTCATCCACAGAGTTCCACTGCTTGGCAATGAAGCAGAGCCTCTCACTGGTGCAGGGTTCCCCAAAGCTCACAGCTGCTTGTGTGGCTACTGAATGGTCACCGGTCTGGTGACCGCTGTGGACAAGCCAGCTCCCCCACCCCTGTGCTCTCCCCAAATCTCCCCTTGCTGGTGATGCCCAGCCGGGCTGCCTGGGCCATGACCACAGGCTCCGAGACATCTTTCCCTTCAGCTAGCAGGTGATGGGGGGATGGCCTCCCCTCATTCGGGACAGGGACCCCCACTTGCTGAGCCCCCAGCGACAGCCCCAGACCCATGCCTTTTTCCTCCTAAGTGTGTCAGCAGGCCTGCCTCTTCCTGTGTTAACCCCAACTCACAAAACAACCAGCAAAGCCGCACCAGCAGCGGGTGCGACGCCTCACAGAGGCCAGGCCGGAGCGGGTTTTGCTGCCAAACTGCTGATAAGTTCACTTTGCTTCTCAGCGTTCCAGATGAGCGGGTTGCAGTCTGGAATGCGTGGGCCTGCCTTTGCCTGTGTGTGGCCGAGGGGCCGGCAGTTTCAGAACCTCGGCACAGGCAGGAGCAGGTGCTGGGTTGCCTTGGCTGCGGCCCTGGTGGCTGGCAGGTGAGGTTTGAGGTTTGAGTGTGGGATGTGGGGCAGGGGGCGGTGAGGAGCTGGGGCCAGATGGGCAAGGAGGCTGAAGAGCAGAGCGAGAGGGCTGGCCGTGTGGCCTTGGGCTTTTCCCCCTCCACTCACCTGCGCCTCTTCCGCCCCCGCCCCCCACCCCGCAGGCTCCAGTTCAGCCGCTGTCCAGGGGCCTGGGCCTTGGCCCACCTGCAGGTCCTCTTCCACCTGTGGTGGGACCGGGCCGGCCACCTGGGGCTGGTGAGGGTGTGCGTCTGGAGCCAGCGATGCAGGTGGTGCTGGGTGCCCGGGGGCTGCCAGGTGAGCCCCCTGGGCACGCGGCCCTTCCTCTGCAGGCTGGTCTTGCACATTCTGAAGGACTGCTATAGAGAGGGCCTCAGCCTGAGCCTGCTCACCAGGGCAGCCTATGAGGGCTGCTTCGAGGCCTCTGAGCTGGGGGTCTGCTTCTTCCAGAAGGCCCCACTCCCTGCCTGGAGCGCCAACACCACAAAAGGCACCTTCCCTGCCATGGCCTGGAGTGGCACCACCGCTGCCTCCAAGGGCAAACAGCTGCCTGCCCCTGGCGACAGCCTCAGCAATGATGGCGGTGTCGCTGCCATCCCCTTCTCCCTTGTGGGTGCCGGCAATGACCAGGCGTCCGTCACTGAGGGCTTTGCCACCCCTGTGGGGGCCTCCCTCCTTGTGACCAGCAGCCCTGGGGGCCCCATCACTGGCCAGGGCTCCATCGACCTGTCTGGGGATTCTGTGGCCATGTGGGGGGGCAAAGGCTTCCGGGTAGACTTTGGAGACCCCGTCTTCCATGGCCCCAGCCTCCTCTGTAGCAGCATCCAGACCTTCTAGCTCAACGGCTTCCTCTTCGAAAGCTGGGGATCCCTCTGCAGCCCTGTTGGTGTGGCCTAGGGCCCCGGGCCCTGCCTCCCTCAGCAATGGCCCGGTCTCTGCGGGGAAACTCATGCCAACCCTGTTCTACTGTGTGGGTCTCTCCGCCAGTGGGATGGGCTCCCTCACCCTACCCTCCTCTGTCACCGACATCTTCACCAATACTGCCAGCAACTACGCCCTCTCGGAGGCCACCAATGGCCCTGTGGCCGCTGATGAGGCCTCGGTCACCTTACCCTTCAACTTTACTGATGTCAAAGGCGCCGTTGCTGAGATGGTTGAAGGCGACAGGAAGGAAGGAGGTGGCCAGGGCCTGGTCCCTGCGGGTCACGACCCCCTTCTAGAGACCAACGCTGGTGGCCTTGCCTCCCAGGTCAAGGGCTCCCTAGGTCCTCTTTCTTCCCTGCTGACGTCCAAGGCAAAGATTCTTTTACTGACATCACCCAAGGCAGAGAAGAAAGGTGGCCTCCTCACCGCGGGTCACCACCTCCCTCCGGAGGCCAACGCTGAGGGCCCTGTCACCGTGAGTGAGGGCCCCATCATCATTACTGAGGGCTCCATCACCTTCTCCATCTTCGATGTCATAAAGCGCAAGGCCTGGCCACATTGCCGACGGCACCCAGGGCAGTGGCTGCGTCACCCAAGGCTATTACTAGAAGAGATGGCTGCGGTCCAGGCTCCACAAGGCCCACTGTGGGTGCCGCCGGGAGGAAGATGGGCACCCTGTCCGCACCTGCCGCAGGCCGCACGCCGAGCCCTACGAGGACTTCCGGATCTGGGTGTCCATGACCGTGTGCGCCTTCGGGCTGATGTGCCTGTGCCGGCTGAACCCTGGCATCTACCCCGCAGCAAGTGTGACGCCCGCCCCGCTCCAGCAATCCCCACCGCCGAGACCCCGCCACTGCCTCAAAACTCCGTCCC